CATTTGTAAGGTGAAATTCCTGAAATAGTAGAAAATGTGGTTGGTCTTAAGTTACATAATTAATAATCCAATGACTACATTTATCTAAAATAGAAGGAAATGTGGTTGGTCTTAAGTTACATAATTAATAATCCAATGACTACATTTATCTAAAATAGAAGGAAATGTGGTTGGTCTTAAGTTACATAATTAATAATCCAATTACCACATTTATATAAAATAGAAGGAAATGTGGTTGGTCTTAAGTTACATAATTAATAATCCAATTACCACATTTATATAAAATAGAAGGAAATGTGGTTGATCTTAAGTTACATAATTAACAATCCAATGACTACACTTATCTAAAATAGAAGGAAATGTGGTTGGTCTTAAGTTACATAGTTAATAATCCAGTGACTACATTTATCATGACTTTTGACAGAACAGTCTTCTTGGTCCTATAACTGTTAAAGTGATGAGTCTTAAACACACAAAGCTTTTCAGAGTTTAACTAAGATATATAGTATGTTCTTTGAGGTTTCCAAGACGTTTAACATTCTAACTGTAGATAAAAATGTGTAAATTTTGTAAACTTTTTCACGGTGTTAATATTTGTACTTTTTTCATCATTTGTTATAAGTTTTTACTGTGTTTTCCAACACTGCGAATGTACGATTGTTTACATTATTTCAGTTGTTTGTTTCACAGCAAAGTTACGTTAGTCTATCTGCTGTGTGCGCCGCGAGGAATCGAACGACGGATGTTAGCGTTGTAAGTACGTAAACGTACCGCTATCCCACCGGGGGACATCATTTGAGTAACACCTAACATTGTCTGCCTTGTACTGGGCACGAGACACAGAATTAGAAAATTCATGTTCTAATCTGTTAGCAACTTTTAGTGAAACCGAAGATATAAGACTGAAACCATTTTTTTTTTCAGGATCTCAATGAAATCCGGTCACTGTCGAGTGATGGTATAACAATTCTGTCTTCCAATGTATACAATCCGAAAACTAAAAATTACCTTTTATCATACGTAGTATAATAATAATAATAATTTGAAACGCTTTTGGCTTTATTCTTTTGTACAAGAATACTTAACGAAGAAGCTTAAATTATTATATCTTTTATCGTTTGAACGGATTTTAATCGCTGTCATGTACGTAGAAAGAAACTACAATAACATAAAACTGTCAACTAAAGATATATAGGAATTATGCAAACCAAGCATAGCTAGAAATAACATAGAGCACGTGATTCTCCTACATAAATCGTTCAAGGATGACAGATGTTACTTTCGTTATTGTGGCTATGCTTTTTAACATACCCACAGATGTTACTTTGGTTATTGTGGCTATGCTTTTTAACATACCCACAGATGTTATACAGTATAGAAATACAGTTTTAAATACATTCGACACCGTATAACTTAATGACATTATTTTTTCTAATAGTAACATAACAATCACTCTGCCCTCTGGTGTTATTTTAGTCATTTTACTTGGGAATTATCGTTTATGGTTGTGAAAATGGTCTAAAATAGCTTTCTTGGATGTAACGTTATATTTTTAACGTTATACCGGACGAAAATATGTTTTTGATTTTATGAACACCCAAGACAACTAATATAAAACTTGTTTAACAGAATTACATTCTTTCTTGTGGTCTATATCAATAGGATTTTCGGAATTCTTATTAATAAAATGTGTTGATAATGTGGATAAGTTGGCTCACATAATTTTTGTGTTTTCCAAATTAGTGGATTTTATAATTTATTATACATATAATTACTACGTCTCTCTGTTTTATGAGTCTTATATGGCATCCAAATTGCATTGCGTTTCTATATGAATCTATTTTTCAAATAAACTGACCTATACATTGTGTTTCTCATGAATTATGTTCTAATGCTAGTAATATGAGATTGTGATTAGTTCTGTATGAAGCCAGCCTATTTTGTACACTGTTGCTTAAAGTCACCAGCAAAGCATCTTCTAACACTTTTGCAAAAGTGAACCTAATGCAATCCAATTAGTTTTA